TTTCGTGCGGAACGGCCCCAAAAGGACCTGGGATTGTGGGCCTCAGAGAAAAAGCAGACGTTGAAACTTGCTTCCCCATGTTGTCAGAAAAATACAAGTGAGTCCAATTCGTCTCCAACGTTTCCTAGTTTTTCTGTATACTGATGCACTATAGGAATTTGGCATGGTAAGGATGGATGTACTTAACACGACCTGTTATAACGTTGCTTTTTTTTCTTCGGCAGTGCACGCCTTAGGCTTACACCGTGACAGGGTACTCAATTATAAGGCAGTATTTCGTTATAATCATTCGAGTTAAACGTTACACTACGCTCAATTTGACAGTATTGTAGGGGCAGACAAAAAATGTCGTAAGAAGAAGCTAAAAAGTCCAAGACAGTGCATGTATCTAAATCAAGAATTTATTGTTAGCTTATCTCAGGCGTGAATGCTTGTACCACACATCAAGAACAGCGGTGTTCAAAAGATCATTACTCTTCTAGAAATAGCTAGTATAGCTTTAATGGCTAAGCAGTGAATGTTGACTTCCATCTTCTTATTTCTAATCCCGAACTTCCCAATTTTGTCAGCACTGTGAATGAGGATACCTGTTAGCTCCACGACAGACGAAATGAAAGATACCCTTCCGAGCGTTCGAGGCCTTTTACAAAATTTAGTTCAGTTTTTATTTTCCCATTTTTAAGTACCACAATGCAGTATTTTTATCCCTGTTCTTTCAGGTTCTATTTGGCATTTGAGAATTCGTTGTGTCAAGAGTATGTCACGGAAAAGTTTTTCAAACTTTTTAATGACGTAGATGTCATTCCAGTGGTAAGAGGAGGTAAGAGGTTAAGAAAGAGACGGACCCCGAGTCATGTGTTTGTCTGAACTGCAAAAGCGTCAGGGACTTATTATAGATGCTTTTAGTCAAAAGTGTTTGTGTGTGTGAGTGTATGTGTGTGTGTGTATGTGTGTGTGTGTGTGTGTGTGTGTGTGTGTGTGTGTGTGTGTGTGTGTGTGTGTGTGCGTGTGGTTTGGGCGGGGGGGGGGTCACTAGTTGTAAAATGACTGTTTTATTACTGGCTATAGATTGCCTTTATCAGATTTCAAATCATTTTCCTCAATTGATGTCAGTCATTTTCACCTCTATCAGTCATGAAGCAGATGTTGTACACACCAGCAACACGATAGAATACATCCTATAGAATTAATTAGAAATGCTTCGACTCTGCCTTTTGCTCCCAGATATAGCTTTAATGGCTAAGCAGTGAATGTTGACTTCCATCTTCTTATTTCTGATCCCAAACACGTGTGATGTAGCGTCTTAGGAGAAAGACGGGAATACTTAATAATTGTTACTTAAACACACTTCCAAACATGGGGATCGAACTGAAGTCGTGTTTTTTTCATGAGATGGCGAAGAGCCTAATCATAGCACTACAAAAGAGTGTAAGCATGACACAAAGATCTTATTGGATTTACATTTGTGTTAAGCGATTCTATTCCTTTAGCCTGATTTAAGCTTTATTCTTTAAAGATAAAAAAAGAAAATGACTTGGAAAGAAATTTCAAAGAGGACTTTAAATGTGTCCTTTTCACGAACTGAAATCATGGTATTGGTGTGGGCCTATAGTAACTGAGTGGCTTGTACAATCCTGGTAAAGGGAAACAACTCTTTTTAAAATCTGTCCTTCAGGTGCCGATTACAAGAGTTATTTCCCACCGAAGACATTCGTGGATGCTTCAGACTTTTCCACTCCAGAAGCATTGGCTGATTTCTTGGAGGATTTGGGTAGGGACCGAGAGAGATACATTCAGTACTTGAAGAACAAGGACAGGTAGGGGTGACATTTTGTTTTAAAATACCCTATCTATTACTGATAAAAACTAATTAAAAACAACTTTTGTTAAGAACCCAAAGAGTAACCCTCGAAGATACATTTTCTGTCCACACATGTGAGGAGTGGTGTGGTGTGGTGTAGTGTGGTGTGGTATAGTGTTGTATGGCAGGGGTATAATTCATGATCTTTCAAAACTGTAAAATCATTTGAAAAGTGGGACCTTCGAATTTAACTTCCTTGTCTGATAGAACCTAACCAAATGGAAACTCTGCAGACAACCCAACTTTAAGAATGCCTCCTTAGGGATTCAGACCATATTCAACTGAACCTTGGTTTAGGTTGATACAAACCGAGCTAAAGATGTACCATGACGTTCTGTGATCATAAGACCGTAACGCATACATCAATCATTGCCCTAAGTCTCTTATTTATTTCTCCTGTGATCCTGTGTAGATGGCGAAGTGTCCGCGACTTTCCACAATGGCAGTGCAAGTTGTGTGAAAAGTTGCACACCGACCGGAACAGAAAGCGTTACGCCAATGTGCACAGCTGGTGGGTTTACAAATCTTGCCATGATGACGTCATTGACTCCCTCAAGTTTTAAATTAAACATATTGTTATAGAATGACTCTTGCATGCTTTCCTTCAATTTGTATTTTTATTGACCAAAAATTTAGGTAAAAAATGAATAAACGGTAAAAAAGATAAACAAACAGACTTGCTGCACTCTTTTTGTATTTTCTCTTCGCATCGTTTCAATGCGATCCTGTGCTCAGTTCTCCAGTTCACTCGTTCTACTCTTTAGAGAGTAAAATACAAGAGTAAGTTAAAACTGAAGTACTGTTGGAGAGTACAACAACTATGACACAGTGCCAATGCAACCAATAGCTTTTCTGCTTTGTTACTCAGTCTGCACTTAATACAGAAATCCTTTAGAAGACATGCATGGCAATTCTGAGATATGAACTGTGCGAACCGGATCGGTGCAAATTTGTGATGCCTCAGGCTTAAAAGCGCATTGTTCATCTCATTGTACAACACAAATAAGAAGTATGAACCCAGAGAGCTTGGGAAATGACGGCCTATAGAAAGATAAGGCGGAGGATGTGGTCTATGATGACGCAGAGAGAGAAGATGGCGAAATGAAGACTCTTTACAGTTACAGATTGATGGAGGGACTGTAAACAGAAGGATAGCAAGGATTTAATTTTTAAAAAATTGAAGCTGCTTTACGCCCCATCGACACAATTTAAGATTATTTAGGAAGTAGATTTCGACCTAGCTTAACCCAGGCTGAGAGGAATACAACGTCTCTGAAGAGCGATGGAAATACTGGATAGAATTCTTCTGTAACTGGACTCGAACTAAGATTTTCTACGTGCAACAGCGAAGCCTCTAACCACATACGCCTGCAGAAGAGAGCTCTATAAACAAATATGACGGTCCTGTTTCGGCCCCCCCCCCCCAACGGGACATTCTTAAACTTGAATTGCTTTGGAAAACATTTCAGGCTCTTAATCCATTTGGCTCGGTCCTACCGAAGATGGACGTTATATTCGGAAGTCCCGTCTTTTGAATAACCTCATGCATTGAAATGGGCGGTAAACCTATACAATAACCGTGATCAAACATCTCGCACCCAGCAACAAACTCACGACTTAACAAACAATTAAAAGAAAACAAAAAGATAAGGAGAAGAAATTAACTCCTACCACACAAACAGTTGGCAGACTCCTCCCCTCTTTCCTTATCAAACAAACAAACAAACGTCAGCCCCAAATCACTAACCGGAAATCCCTATCAAATTATTGCTAGCATTTTCCAAAATGCCAAACCCAGGCCTCGATTTCAAACCACTGCGCGTAAACCCTAGCCTTATAACTCAAGCAAACCTCTGAATCCCATTTCGAAAAAGCTAACACGCTAAACAAAATGACTAACCACTAACCCTTAACTTCATTGCCTACTCCCGACCTCCTAATTCAAGGTCTATTCCTCAAATGCTTACCCCACATCCCTTTGCCCTTAACTCCAGAAGATATTGCGCAGTAGGGCCTAATAATATTATGTTGTTGATATTATCTGACTTGTAGCCTTCAGTATCCCAACCGAGACAAGTAGGTTGAAAAACAGGTCATACATGAACCTACGAAACCCAACACCACCTTGAACCGAGGTCGAAGACAATAGCTTCGATCTGTGGATCCTTAATGTTATTTCAACAAAAGCTCCGGAATCGATTCTGTGCCCACACTTCGAGGGACAGAGCTAAGGTTGTGCTGTCAACATTTTAGAGGCCAATTTCAAGTCTTTTTGATTAGCCTTTACGATGAAAACGCATCAAATGTATACAATTATTGCTCTAAACATGTGACTGATGTACGCATGGACAAAATTATAATTACATCTTGTCGTGATCTTACAGATAGGTCACCATATTACTAAAGATAGAATTATTCAGTTTTATGTTCAGAAAACAACGACGACAAAGGCAACAACAACAGCAACAATAATAATAATGATGACAAAAATAATAACAATAACAGTAACAATAACAATAATACTAATAAAAATAACACTAATAAAGATAATAGTACAAACGATAATAATAATAACAATAATAATACTACTACTAATAATAGACAAATCGTATGTGCAATCACAATGATAACACCCCCCCCCCCCCTCACCTCCCATTCCAGCCTAGCTCTCTACCCCTAACCTCCCGAAAACAAGTTGAATGAGTTGACTACAGAGCAGCTGCAAGCAACTGGCTAGAAAGAGCGAATCGGTGGAGAAAGTAGGACGTGGAGGGGCAGTAGAAGGAGGAGGAGGAGGAGGAGGAGGAGGAGGAGGAGGAGGAGGAGGAGGAGGAGGAGGAGGAGGAGGAGGTATTGATTGCTGACAAAATGAAAACGCTTTCTTTAGTCACATAATTATGATTATGAACTTTTTGGTGGGATTAGAGTCTTTGGTCAATTAACAAATTTCTGATCATACCAATCTTCTTTCTGCCGATTTTCTGTTTTATAAACGTGACCTATCCTCGCCTGTTCATCGAAGTTGCGACCGTCGGATTTTTGCTGCGGTAAGGACATAGACGTCATTCATCGATCGCCACCTCATCTAAATGTGTACGATACTGTTATGTCTCTACAGGACGTAGTGTGTTATATTATATTATGAGCAACTTAACCCGTTACTGTCACCTCTAAAGATAGTTACTTTCGCAACGAAAGAAAGTGCACCTTTTATGAGTCGTGTTTTATCATCGATAAAGACTCATGAAACAGTTTACCCCGGAAAAGATCAATATTTACGGGTTATTACGTCATTGTATAATATACTACTTTCCTGCCCTATCTCATTCAGGTTCAATAAAACTCAACCTTTCCGCTCATCCATCGAGTTGGCCTGCCTTGAGGGGCGCAGTGTGCTGACAACCCTGCCATGTAACGACCCAGGCTTAAAATTCGCGAAGAATTTTAGTTCTTGTTTTCCTTTCTGGAGATTTTTTTCCCCACAGCGACGGCACTGGCAGGGAACCAATCCACTGTGTTGTAAAGGAAGTAAATTCAGTACCAAAGGGTGCTAAAATAACCAATTTGGTTATTACGTTGTGCTTCCATAAAGATAATACATATCATTATTTCATATTATTCTGTAAGTACACTGTTTCCAACAAGGTTCTGAAATTTCTGTGTTGGCAAGTTTGTGATCATCCTCACCTTAAAGTGGCACGGAAAGCCACAAGAAAGAATAGTTCCCGCCTATCAATATCATTATAACCGATTTGGGAAAATAGCCCCAAAGCCCTTGCGTTTTGTTTACTTAAAGAATATGTCATTTTCATTTGTTGATCTTTAAAATTTGACCCTGTATTAAGAGTTTCAGCGACAAAGTGACATTCTGGCTTCTGTAATATAAAACTTTTTTTCTGCACTTTTGCCCCATCCGCAATTTATACAGACTGAATTCATATAATATTTGCCTGTTATGGCCAAACTCTCTGCATCTTTATGGATTAACTCGGATGTCTTCATAAAGTCTTTAAAATTGTTTCCAAGAGAGCCATCCAAAATAGAGTATACAAGGGCAAAGACACGACATAACATATTATCAGGATGACGCTGAAAACAAAACGCATTAACGCAATAATAGCCACAATCTCAGCAATTTTACTTATCTCCGCTTTAAGAAATATGGACGTATCCTCATCAAGAAGCTCTGCTGTTAACGCGTGGACTACAACACCTGATGAGGCAGGTGACGACCAGCGCTTGTCTGCAGCCGGGTACGGACATCCTAGGAAAAAGATCACGAAAGACATGCTTCTGAGACTCATTTCCTCTCGGATTAACACGACAAAGCAAGAAAAACAGATGAAAGATCAAAACTTAGGAACTGCGGCTATCAGACGTGGAGAATCTTCAAATACAAGTGGTGTTGAAACAAAGACTGCGGGCGATAATCCCACTTCTGACAACTACCTTCAAGTAGCAAAAGCAGAAATCAAAACAGAGAAAGAAAGTGTTGTGGATAAACAAGAACACCATCACCAACAGCAAGAGAAACAAGAACAACAGCAACAAAAAAGAACACAAAAACAACGGCAACGGGATCTACAAGAACAAAATCGCAACATGAAAAAAGCCAGAGAGCTTCAGACTACAATTTTACCTTTGCATAAACAACCGAATGGGAAAAAGAAAAACACGAAGACTGAATCCACGCTAAAAAATGTTTCTTTACCAGATTCTACAGCCAGCACTGGTGATTCAGGAGAAGATGATGAACAGGGTGAAGTTATTCCTAACCTGCCAGAAGTGCATGATGTAAGTACGCCTGTTACAGACGCAAATGCCGACAAAGAGGAGAACTCAGACCAAAATAAACATTCGGGTAAAGATTTAGAACCCGGCGGCTCCAAGAATGACTCTTCTGCAAACCGAAAAGAAAGCACAGAAGGAGAACAAGAAAACGGTAAGCCAGTTTTGCAGTTTACGCTTGTTTTCCGTTGTCTGCAATGGCTGTTAACATGATAACATGCAACTACGTTACTTATTTTATCCTTCCTATTGTACCATCTATGGTGTTTAGGGAAAAAGAGCTTTCGGTCTCTGGCGAGCTGGATGGCCTGGCTGGGTGGGATATTGCGGGTCTTCAGGGTAACCTTCACACCCCCGATCCAGGTCTTACTTTGTATACCTCTTGCCTTGTACCCTGATATATTTTTGTTGTGCGTTTTACTGGCACGCTGGTGAGGTGCCATACGTGTCAGATGTCCAAACCACCTGATTGTTTACCTCTGAATGTAGTGGAAGACAGGTTGTGTTCCACCATTTCTCCAATCCTGGTGTTTCTACACACAGTGAGATCATCCCTGATATAGTAATGCTTGATGTTCGTGTACGGATTCATGATAACTGAGGGAAAGGGGGGAAATGTGGAAAACCGAGAGAGGCGTAGAGCGAACAATGCAACGGTAACACCAATGCCAGCATCCGCCATTGAGCTGTTACAGTTTCGATTAACGGCAATGAATATACATTCTTAAACTCATTCTATTTGTATTTACACGAGAGAGTAGACAAACCCGTTCCCCCCAAAAAGCCCAAAACCCAAAACAAAACAAAACCAACAACACCAACAACAAACTAAACGTAATTTCCAAATTTCCAAAAATGAATATTTTTCGTACTGAATCATTTACATTATCGTACAAATATCCGTTGGAAATAGGTAAAAAAATAAGATTCAAACGAAGTGTATTTGCGACGTTTTGGTACTTTATTCTGTAGTTTGACCTCAATTTGGAAATACAGCATTTCTCCATTGGGAGAAGATCACGTTATCTTTTTAAGGCTCTTCATTGACATGCACTGAGTGCTAAAATATCGATTAAATATTAATTTTCATGTACATTGAAGTTGTATCTTTATACGGTGAAACAGTTTCTCGCCTCCTGTTGTTACGTATATTATGTACAACTTGGTGGGTCCATCTAGCTGCTAAAACGAACGGTCATCTAATTGTTTATTACGATATCGTTTTCAAGTTTTCCCAGTTATTAGCTCATAATAAGTAAAATCCAAAAATCCACCCCCCCCCCCAAAAAAAAGAAATTAAATCACCCCTCCCCCTTAAAATATTACGAGGATTCGAACCCCCCCTCTAAAAATAGAAACAGTCTAGGTTTGCAGTGCAATGTTGAATACACGCGCCTCCCCCCCACCCCCTTTCAAAAAAAGGTGGAAAAGCATAAAAAACACACCAAACCAACACCAACAACAGCAAAAAAAAACCCCAACAAAAACAAAAACAAATTAAAAAACAACAAAACAAAAAACAGCAACAACAAAAGACAAAAACAAAACCAGACGACGGGCAGTCCTTCGACAAAATACACAGTTCTGAAATACAGAAATAGTTACTTATATTATTAATCTAATTGTTGAGTTCATGGTTTGTCAGTAAAAGTAACTTTGTTGATGTTAATTTGGAAATGGAAGTGGCCGGGAGTGGAGGTGGTTTTTTTTTTTTGGGGGGGGGGGATTACAGGGAGTCTTGACGGTTCTTTGAAAAAATCAAATATGGGGAGTAGGGTTGTGAGGAAATCAACCTTGAAACTATGATACATGGATAAAAAGTTGTTTGGTTGTTTGTTTGTTTGTATTTTTGCTGATCTGGGGAAAACAGAATTGTCACTGCTGTTAGAGATTGTGCTGAGAAACTTTCAATATCAAAAATAATTTGTAGACTACTTAGACAGACCCCCCCTCCTGTCCTCTTCCTCACACAAACGCACTTACACACACGCAGACACAGATGTGTCACGCCGCAGTGGAATCAGGTGCTCGTCAGTTTTTGGGCATGTGAAGGATGTGGTCCTCTGATTTCAAAAGTGAAATGAGCGAGAAAGTGGCCGCCAAAGTTTGGTGACTTCCAAAACTTGAGATTCCTTGGAAAATGAAAATATACATTCTTTTGTTCCTTTAGTCGACGTTTTTCAGTAAAATCTACACAGAAATGTGTTTTTAAAAGGACGTTAAAAGTGTCGAGCCAAAAAACAAAATCAGATAAAAATTGCCAAACCGACGGAAACATGTCCGTTTAAAAAAAAAATCATTATTTTGACGAGCGCTTGATTTTACCACGGTGCCTCACATATTATGTTTGTTTACGGAGCCAAACCAATGTGAATGCTACCATTGAACACAGATCTGAAGGAGAAGACAGCATCTACACACAAACGACCACGCGTCCTCATCTTTGTGCTCACTGGTCCAAACAGCCAACACACTCAGGCGCAGTATGTGAAGGATACCTGGGCCAGGCGATGTGACAAAGTTCTTTTCTTCAGGTCTGTAAGTTCCCATCTAGGTCATTTTCATAATATAAATACTTGAGATGTGAATTATGTTACGTATGTGATTGTGAAAATATTACGTAGATAGATAGATAGATAGATAGATAGATAGATAGATAGATAGATAGATAGATAGATAGATAGATAGATAGATAGATAGATAGATAACGAGAGAGAAAAAGTGATGAGAAAAAGAAGAGGATGATGTACGTTTGGTAAATACATGTCTTACACGATAATCAACAGATAATGAGATTTTAGAAATAAACAGATAATTATTTGTTCTTTCCACAGTGCCCAGACACACAAAGACTTTCCTGTTGTTGATCTAAAAATCCCGGAGGGCAGGGACAACCTGGCTGCCAAGACCTTGAAAGCCTTCACCTACGTGTATGAAAATCATTATCAAGAGGCAGACTGGTTCATGAAAGTAGGTTTACATGTGTGCATACTTTGCATAAGGTTAAATAAGGGATATTTATATTTCCCTAAAACTGCTGAGCCAATGTCACACCCAATATAAAACTGGGAAGAATGGGAGCCGGAGCAGATTTCTAAAGACCTACTCAGCTTGTGACTATCATTAGAAATAAATTGAAACGATTTCAATCCTTGTTTGTGAATACCATCTCCCCTTTTTGTTTGTCTTTCAGTTTTTTCTTGTAAGATGAGCAAAGTGCATTTATCACAGTCGAAACGCAGGAGGGAGCATTAGATAGAGCTTAGAGCTAATTCTCAATATAAAATCAAATATAAGAAAGCAAAACAATCCAAGTACTGGTACATCTTTAAAAAATGAAATTATAACAACAACAACAGCAACCCCTTCCTCAAACAACAACAACATCAACGACAAAAAACAACAACAACAAAAAACCCAACAACAACCAAAAAAGCAGTCATTGATGCCAGCCCCTACCCCACTATACCATGGGTACCCTC